TGGAATTAAAATTTTTTTTCTGAATTACCGTCATGTTTATAAGGCTGATACTTTAAGCTTGACTTAAGGGTGCTTATTGCCTAATTGTAATATTTTCGTGTTAAAGATAAGATCTAAGCAAGCCATCCCGGATTACAGAGTCTAGGAGATATCAGGCTTGTGCAGTTCCTTGCCACCAGCCCAACTGTCATAGTTCGTAATACCAAAGTGACCAATAATGATCATCGTTGTAACGACAAGTTTTAGGCTTAAATTGCAAGAAGCAGGCACCGTCTGCCAAGCCCTTTGTTCTACCCAAACCAACAAAAAGAGCTGTCTAATAACTTTCAGTGGCTTACTCTTTAAAGTATTTACATCCATTATTCTTAACAAAATCGTTTAATTGCCATCACAGAAATGGCGAAACCTATCAAAGCAATTTTTACTTATTCCTCAGTCAGTCACTGCTAAATATGCCTAGATATCTTGTATTTTCGAGTAATAAAGCTCCACCCTGGAACAGTTAGCTCAAAATAAGAACCCAAAATATTGCCTATTAAATGCAAATTTTACCACTTTTATTCACATTACAAATATATAATTAGACTTAAGATAGGCAAGTCAATTTTTTTTATGAGAGCACTTTTGTAAAATATGTGTATACTGACTCACGCTGGTTGGCAGGGTGTAATCTGCTAGTACAACAGCAAGCATCGCTTTTGAACAATGTGGTGTATATTGAAAAGGCAAACTATCCTTGTTTTGCCCATTGCAACGCCCTTGAGTTACTGATTTGAGGATGGAACCAAAGCTTTCGGAAGGATTTGATTCTCCTTGCCTAGCAGAAATAAACTGAGTTAGGTCTGGTAATTGGCATCGAAGGTGCAAAGGCTCAAGAGCTCCTGAGTCCATCACGATTATGAGCTCGTTGGCAATATCTTGAAGTCGCAGAAGAACATCAACTGCCATCTAAATAATGGTAAAGGTGATACAAAAATGGCAATATAACTCATTTGAAACAATATACAAATCCTATCCGGCAACCAGTCGTTACAAAATAGTACACATCAAAAAGGCAGATTCTTGCAGTTGAGATTGGGATAACAGAAAGTTGTCAGGGCCAGAAAGATTTTCTCAAGTTTAGAAATATATTAGTAAGGACGACAGAAGTTACTCTAGTTAGAAAGGGACGATAAACTACCCCTTTTAGATGTCTTGCTTATTAAAAATGTAAATATTTGATATGGATATGCATATAAAACCCACAAATGCGGCCCCTTTCTTGATTTCCTCTCTAATAATACTCCTGGTGTTAAGGTAGAGGTTATGAAGTCGAGCGTAGTAAGAACTTTGCGTCTAGCGGATGTAAATTATCAAGACCAAAAGTTATGATGGCTAACAAAAGTCTTATTTGAGAAAAATTATCCATTATGATTAATTGTTAACAAATTCTAAATACTAACAAATAGGGTGAGGGGAAATTATTATATAGGATAAGACATGGAATTAGACAACTCTTCGTCAAGGTTCCTATTGCTAAGGTCCTGCCAATTTTCGAAAAAAAGACAAATTAATGAGAAAATTGAACGTTGAGATCATGTAAAAATAAATGTTTATGCTTTCTTTGGTCACGCCTTCTTTTAGAGAATCTTCATATACACTCTGTTTATCAGCTTGTCATAAGATTTGGAGCTTATATAGTAGTGTATATTTATAGGAAACTTGTCGACCCATACATAATAGGCTCTATGACACAAAACTTATAGCAAGATAGGCTTGTAAATGTTTCTAAAATAAATTATAGCTATTTTATAAAAGGAAATAATTGTTGTA